AATCGCCTTGCAATTTTGTCTTGTTATTTACTTGTTGAAATAAAATTGAAATAATATATATATATTTATTTTTTTAATAAATATTTTTTATCAAAATTATGATAAAAAATACATTTCCTACCTGTATTTAAAAAGAAACATAAATTATTAATATTTAAAAATTYAGTCTTAAGCTCTGAATTGCAATTCTGGACAACTGAAAGATAAACAAATTTATAGTTACAGAGTACTTACAGTTAAAAAAAAGGTTCTTATAACTTATAGCTTATGATTTTCATTGAATTTTCATTTAGATAGATATTTAATAATCTGTGGGATTTTACCACTAGTCTGCTAAGTATGATATTCTGTATTTATTAGGCTTAATGATGTATTGTAATACTTAATAATAATAATAGTTAAAAAAAAATAAAAATTGACCTTTATTTCATTTTTACGTACCTATTGCGTATTCATCTACAAGAATAATAAATATTGTCAGTTAATCATTATCTATATGGCTATATAGCTGACATATTCAGCGTTTTAGTATTATTTTAGCTGTTAGATATAATATCTATTTAGTATTTAATTTAATTAACTAGGTACCTACATCACAATTTTGGTACGCCGGCGTATCTGAAGTTCTCAATCCAACATTCGTTTACGAAGCGTTTTATTTTGAAAAATCCTTTATCACCCCAAGAAGTTCCCCATGAATTAGCTAACAACCAGTAAGCTTGTTCTCCTTCTAAACCCCACCCGATCATCCTTACCGACAGCAGCCCCAAATAATCACCGGTGACATGATGATAAACACCTGTTGTAAAAATAAAAATTAGATTAATCCAATATTCTAATAATTTGTACAAACTATAATATCCTTTAGATACACAAATAAAATATTATTGGTCATTAGTCATTGCTCATTACTTCATTGGGCACTCTTTAGATAAAGTCTACAAGGTTGAAAATAAATTATAAAACCATTATTAAGGATGTATGCAGAACTTGACTGGATTTCGAAATTGGCATGAATACTGGTGAATAAATTTAATTCACCAAACATTTTTTTTTTAACCGAGTTAGAATGTATAAAATATAATGTTAAAAGGGATATAATTATAGATGTAGGCTTTATAATTGAAACATTGAAACACAAGAAAAATAGGTAGGTATTATATTTGTTTAGGTAGGTACCTATAAATAATAGTATTGGTAATAAGTAGGTAGGTAGGTATGCACCAGGTTGTTAAATGGTTACAAAATTGAAAATAATATACAGACAAATAGGAAAACGTAGTACGTATATGCTTAAATAGGCTATAGGTAGGTACCTACATAAAATATTAATATGATACATAGGTATCTACTTATCTACTTTAACTTTAGTCGTTAGTACCTAAATCACAATATGATAGGTACGTATTACGCAGGTACCTACACAATATACCTATACCTACTATAGTATTTCATTTATATTTTATAATTTATACCAGATTTGTAAGCGAGAAAATCTTCGTAGACTCGCATTGTGACTACGTATGGCCCGTGTTTCCTCAGGGTTTTCCTCGCTGAACACCCGTCGAACGTAAAAACTTTCTTGGCTGTGGCGAAAAATAAAATGTGTAGATACAATATCGTATTATATATACTATTCACGATAATTGTATAATCATCATTCTAAATGACTAAATCACTGTCTTTCGAACCTTTGATGATTTCGTCCAAGTATTTGCCTTTATGTTGTTTGTTGTAGCAGCTCAGATCACATTTTGGAGTGGTCTTCGGGTTGTTACCGCACACGCCGTGTGGACCGAGCACTGAACTTGGATCGGCGGCCGTTGTGGATATGTTGCACGGCTGCAGGAGCCATGGTTGACAGCCCTATTAATATTTTAACGAAGATGAGGAGACATTTTAATATGACAATATGACCACGACCGCTGTAGGTGGTCCTGGTTCAAAAAATTGTTTTGATGAGTGACACAAATAACTTCCCTTTATTAGCCCTTATTATAAAAATATAAAATGCTTATATGTCTTGGCTGATTCTCTTATAAATTATTTAAAGTAGTAAAATATAATCTTATAAACATTTATACACTAAAATAAATTAACTTTTTGACACGATTTTTAAAAAAAMTATGTGCTGAAAAGTAATAATTAAAAAAAAACACTTATTAAATAAAATTAAACATTATTTAATACACAATTTAGGCGAGGCTGTGCTCTACTTTCCTCATCTCAAAAGCCAATACCTACTTCTCGAGTTATCATGTCATAAAATAATGAATTGTGGCCGGTGTTTTTATAGATCAATATATATTTTGTTTGAGAGTGAGAAGGGAGAAGTATTAAATAGTCGATTCAGATACTGCTCTTGCTCACCTGCATTCTGCAACTTCTCCTCCCTGATCTGCCGCTGTGGAATGCTGATCTATAGGCACACCAGGACTTGATCGCAGACCACGGAGTAGGTTTTTGAATCGGCTATTTATTGTTACTGGTGGAAAGGGATGAGGAGGAAGAAATATACCAAAATCTCATACTATAGGTATTTTAAATATTATGTTTTACTTGGGAAACTATTTGTGAATTTTATAAATAAACATGTTTGAAAATCGTTTTCACACAAAATTAATTTTTACGTCTTACAGATWTAAYAAGCTATTATTAGTATGGTTACCTCGTTACTCCCATAATCGCCACCAGTAACGATTCCTTTTTTTAGTATATATCTCCATGCGGCTGCAGTATATCCTCCACTGCATCCGTTACCACAGTCTTTACAACAGGAAACTAGTTTTTGCGGTGAATAAAGTGCAGTGATGTTACCCTGAGATGCGATACATATGCGATCGTTCATCGCCGAAGTCACAGAAATCGCCTGGATGGATAATAGTTTTTTATATAAATTAAATTTAAATAAAGAAGTGATGAGGTAAATCACTGTCAATTACGTATAATTTCAATATTGAATTTGTTTTGCACTACTATTAATCATGATAGGGCCACACTACTTAGTAGGTTTAGTGTGTGCATTCGTGCATGCATAAAAAATGGGCGAGAACACTGAGAAAGTGAGAACCAATATTTTGATAAATCCACTTGAGTTTTGTCTCCGTAGTGGAAAATCAAAAAATTCCCGGTAATACTAAATTCGATAAACCGAAAAATATTGTTCTATATTAAATRCTAGTTACTAGCAGTGTTGCACCATACTATACCATATATAATATATATGTAATATTATACCTAATTGTTTTCTAAAATTATATTATTTTAGGATGTATGTTTATATTTTTCACACCCAGGACTGGCTTTAAATATTTGTGCACTCCGATGCAAAATTATAATATGTCCATATATCCATCTATGAACGAAATGCTGCCTMCAATTATTCACTTAAAATTTCCGCCTACTTTTCTCTGTTAAAACCTATCTACGTTCACGGCGTAGGTATATCATATTATATCAATATTATAGATAAACAAGTTTTTGTATACCCAATCTGCAGCGCAGTTGCCTTGATTCCAGATGTGTGAGATGGAAATGCAATCGAACCAATGGTATCGGGCATCGAAACTCTCAGGTGTTCCGTTTGTGTCATCACCATCGTTTTCGCGGTCGTTGTCACAATYACCACCCTTGACTGAACCGTCATCAGAGATATCGTGCCCTAGAYCGATCCACTCGGGATGGGAAAAAGTTCCCACCAACTTTTTGTAATCGTTCGTATGAAAATTGTTTATTCCGGCCTGAAAGGAATAATACAATTATGATGTTCTGTAATACAGTTCCACAATAGAATGATTTGAAAACAATGTTAAATGAATAGCGATATCAGCTAAACTCCTCATATACCACCGAGAATCCACACAGTCAGTACATCTTCACAGTATACGGCATATAATTTTAAAATTAGCTATATTTTTCAGTTGTCAACAGATAATATATTTTATAATGCGAATGCCATAATGAAATATATTAATAGGTACCTAGTTAGAAGTTACTCTTGATGTTTTTAAGCACAAAACTGGGCAACATCTATTTGAGTTTTCAATACATAATATTATCATCTACCTTTTTAGTCTAATATAATTAGAAACAAAAATATATGAGTATGAAATCTGGCAAACCATATTTGATTTCGTATACCTAGTACTTACATTTGGTTTTATTTAATTTCATTGCTAAATTTTCATACCACATAAATATAAATAACAATATGATATTCTTACCTGCCATGTCACATTWGCGCTGTTGATGTGTGCGATGATGTCATGTAATTTGTAAATATTAGCCTCACATGTCATCCAAAAGCTGGATATTAGCAGCAAGCCAATTTTCATTGTGGTGCACGATATAATACTAGGTACTTAATAATATTTAATATTTGGTTGTWGCCTTGTTGGGTGTTAATTAATTATCGTATTGAACCTGTTGGAATTTCTGATGTGGTTATGTTTTTTTTTACTTGACTTTCAAGTTCGAGGTGGCCAACAATATCAGCGTTATCATGAATGCAGYTTCTGTCAAAAAGTCATGTTATAATGTGTTTAGTCGATTTACTCAAAGAACTGAGTTTGTACCTAAGTAWAAAGTCGGATTGAAATCGCGGTTTTTAGATAAAATTTCTCGACTTTTTAACTGTTGTTAACTTGTGAGAGTTGTTTACGTATATATTCGTATATATTATAGCTACACTGTTTTTTGTAACTCAAAAATGTTTGTTTAAGAATCGAGTGATTAAATAAAATCGAGTACTTCAACGAGTACACATTATGATATAATCAATCTTGTCAAAATGTATCTGTTGTCTAAATATTATTTGTGTACACTATAACTTAGTGCGATAACTATATCTTTGAAATGTAATTGTTGCTTATGAGTGGAGAAACTTTATTTTTAATTAAATATAAAAATAAAAATAGTAATGATGGTAATAATTTGTGACGAAAAATTGTTTAAGAAGGACATACTAATAGATAGAAGAATAATAATAAACGATAATGGATTTAAATTCTGAATTCAACAATCAACATTAAAAGATAACTGTATAGAAGTATAGTTATTTGAGAATATAATTGTTAAGTGTGGATTATATACTTGACATATAGAGTAGGTACCTAAGTTGATATAAAATTTCTCTGTGAAAGATTCATCCATACGTATTTTTATATTTATTTACTTATTTTTCTCTCGTGCATACCATAGTATGTACATGCCATATATGACATAAAAATGCGTTAAATGTATTTAGGTATTCTAATGGATATTACTTATAAGAGGACTATGGATTATAATATGCATTTGAATTTGCATATCTGCATATGCAAATGCATATAATCGCCTTTTCAACCAGCTATGCATATTTCATTGATTCGTCGTGTCAATGACATATTATCGTATTTTTTTTTATACACACTGATTAAATATGTCAAAAACATATATCGACCTAACTAATTGACGGGACAAGGTTCTAAAGAAGTCGTTATTTATAATCTCGACAACTGAATAAAAATTCTGGTTATGATTCCTTAAGTATGATCGACGCTTACATTAATATCACAAGTATTGCACTGCCTATAATACAATAACGAGAACTCTCTTTGCAGATGACTTAAATATTCTCTGAAGAGGAAAAAACCCAAATTCCTTCCTCTTCTCTAGCGTTAAACAGTCTTCACTCAAAATGATAGAAACTATCCACAACTCGGGTCTGAGATTCGYCACAGGCACATTCCGTTCCAGCCCAATCCCAAGAATTTAGACTATTGCAAACACCCTTCCTCTCGACCTAAAAATACTGCAAAAYGCCATTATCCAAAAAGCTAGAAGAGCACAAAATAACAACATCCCAAACTCGGAAAACATAATAAAACTCAATAATTTTGAATTCAACTGCTCAGAAATACTTAAACACGAACATCCTATCGGTCCTCCATGGGTAATGGAACTACACTTCAACATCGATCTCTCACAACATATCATATGCGAAACCATGGACAATAGATTTAGAAATCTGGCATATTCAATATTGGAAGACTACCAGATCACACAAAATTGTATACCGATGGATCTAAAACTGAAACAGGAGTAGGGGCATCGGTATACTACAACAATGTAAATAATGTAATAAAAATGATCAAACTCCCTGATTTCTGCTCCATTTTCACAGCTRAAGCTCTTGCGATCTCACACGCACTTGAGATAGTTAAACAACAAAAGATAGACCAAGTATTAATACTAAGTGACTCTTTTAGCGCTCTAAACAGCATCTTAAATATAAAACAACCCAACACCATATCCAGAATAATCCAAAATCAGATCTCTCTACTAAATATTAATAATCAAATCATTACGCTGCTATGGGTCCCCAGCCACGTTGGAATACCAGGCAACTAGACAGCAGACATATATGCCAAAAAAGCCATAACTTCTCCTGATGSCATCTCTGTCCAAACATGTTCTCWAAGTGACATCAAGGGCGTCATACAGGTCCTGACACTGGAAAAGTGACAACATCGTTGGGTTTCTTTACAAACAAAACGCAATGAAATTAAACTCTTCATTAACCCATGGCCAACTTACCTTGCCAAAAGACGTCATGAAGTAGTAATCAATAGACTAAGAATTGGACATACCTGGCTTACACATCGTCACCTCATGAGACGAGAAGACCGAGACCTATGTACAACTTGTGGGGAAGCTTTGACTGTCAAACATATCCTCCTATACTGTCGAAACTACGCAGACACCAGAACAGCCTTAAGTATACCTGAGCRCATATATATGAAGCACTTGGACTTGGACCCGATCATGAAAACACTATCAAAATCATAAGTTTCTTAAAATAACCAAATTGTATAACCTTATCTGACATTTGTATTTGTATTTGTATCTATTTTGTACTTGTATTTTTTTTTCTTTTCATCTTTCTCTCACTTCCAATGCTGTACTTCTATATTTAAACGTTATACCTTTATAAATAATCTACATTGTACTTAATATTCATAATGTTATCTAGCACCTAATTTAATGTTTACATTGTACAATATGCCAATAACCTTAGTTTTTGCGGCTTTAATAAAAAAAAATAAAATAAAAAATAACGAGWAAMATGGCTATTAATTTAAAATACTGTCTTGTAACATCTTGTAATGTTGAAAGGTAATTTTCTGTATTCAAACTTATTATGGATGGCAAGCATTATACTCATTATAGTTCTACAATGGACCACTTGTAGCATCATATATTAATACACTGCAATAGAGTTTTTTCATTGAGTATAAGGTACTTGATATAGGTATTAAAAATGTATTTTTAAAACTATAAGTTCTAAATAAAATAATTCAATTACTTGGAATATTTTTTTAAAAAACATTTGAATATTATAAAACGATGTAGGTATAGTTTATAGATAATTTCTCGTGTTCACGTTGGTTTCTTATCAATGCACTCGATATCTTAAAGTGACTACCTACCTACTCTCAAAAACAAAATACTCATAATACATTGACATAAAAAATGATGACCTGTTTTAATAAATTAACAACTATGTTTGGTGTTGTTTACTGTCATTAGTTATTACAGCCTTACAGGGGTAGTTTTTATTTATCAAATTGTCCGCTTTAATATTATAATGAACGCATTGGCCACTAAATAATGTCATCAGTAAATAACGAAAAATATTCAAATGTATTTAGTTAAGCATTTAATTCTAAATTAATTYCTGACATAACCTTTTAGTTTAAAAMATGGCCYTTTTTATAACTATTTTTGACAGCTCACTCACACAAGGATCTAACGGCTGGTTTAGTGAAAAAATAGAGATGAGATTTTATATTAGTTTTTTACAGTGGTATATTGTATTATACGAGTTATTATACAAGGCACGTTTTAGTGGTACCAAAAAGTTAATAGGTGGGTATATATTTTTTTATATTCTAGTTTTTACTCAAATTCTAATTTATGCTAAAACTTAAAACGTAACTTAAGAAAATTAATTTTKTATTCAAGAATATAATTTACTTTAAATTATAATTCAAATATTTTAAATATTGTAATTATTGTGTTATTGTGGCTTTTAGAATGTATTTGAAATTACCTATTAAGCCATTTTAAAATTAGTCATTTGGCAGTTATAACCTGTGTTCAATTTCTGATAATTTAATCTACCAYAAGTCCACAAGGATACATTTATACATCAATACGTATTAATACCATAAGATATTGCACTATTACCTAACAAAGATACTATTTYTAACTTTCTAACTTTCTAACATCATTCGAAAATAACACTCTTAATTCCTACATATCATGCTGTGATATACACAAATATAATAATATATTCACTGACAATATTCTTTAATAAGAAATTAAATTAAATTTAATTAATTAATGTTTTTGATTACATACCTAATGTTTATTTAAATGATATAATAATACAAGGGTGGCAACTAACTTTAATATTTTGGGAGCCATACGTTTATGAAGCTATTTCGAAGTGAGCTACATTGTTAAGATAGGTAGGTATGTTTATAAAATGAAAACACATTTTTAATTTTATAGTAAATAAAGGAACATTTATTTTTTACATAACACAGAGCATTATTGTTCAGGTAGGTATACCTACATTAAGAAATGGGATTTTACTTTTGAGAAGTGCTTTTTATACTATATGAATTAATTTTATTCTAAGCCAGGTATCAAGAGCCACACGAGACTCACTCGAGAGCCGCATGCGGCTAGTGAGCCTCGTTGTGACCAGCCCTGTAATAATAGATAATATTAAATWACAATGCAATTATTTGATACAAAAGAAGAAAGAAACGTAAGGTAATTATCGAATCCGGTCAACTGACGTTTTTATCACAACGGTAAGCCAGCGTACATAAATTCTTCTATATAACATTCGTTGGCGCCTCGTAGAATTTTGACAAATCCGTTGTCACCCCAGTACGTGTTGAACGAGTTGGCTGCCAACCAGTACGGTGTGCCGTTCTCTTCTCCCCAACCTAAGATTTTAACCGCTTGAGTGGTAACGTATTTTCCGGAGTTGTACGAGTATACACCTTAAACAGACAAAAACTCATAGTTTTTATGTAATTTAAAAATAATAAAACGGTTGTTAAAAAGTTATAGATCAACACGTATATCCAATGGGCGATGGCGTAGTTGAGGGAAACATGCGTCTTGGTGTTTAGCCATTCAGCCACGCGGTTGCATGTTTTAGGGTAGAACTATGACTATCTAAGAAAATGAAGTAGGCCAAACGCGACGTATACATTGTGTTTGTATTTAAATAAAGACTTTAATTAATAACCGTTGTGGTCAATAAATATATTAATTCCTGAAGTCTAAAATCAACTAAGAAATTAGTGTCATTCATACCCGATTGATAGTTGACAAAGTCTTGGTACATGAAAAACGACGCCGTTATTGGACCGTTTTCGTAAATTTCTTTCATCGCCGTATATCCTGGGACACGATAATTTGTTCCTATAAAATGTAAATAATGTATGTTATAAATGTTATAATATACTATAGGTGCCCTACTACTCTAATAGCACTAATAACTGTATAAACCAACAATGTTTCATAACACCCATAGTTCATTAAGAATGTTAATAAATTTGCATCTTGCATGCCTTTTCTTAGTAAATTTGAAATTGAAAACAAAAAGTACCATAAATAATATCAAAAATGATAATAATTACAATAAGTTATTATTTATTTCAAATTGTTCTTTTTTTTTAGATTTTGACAGAAGTTTGTTTAGGTAGTACATGTGTATAATAGATAGCGATARTTGGTTTTGWAATAATATGGAGTTTTTACGCTAAAACTTTTTGAGGCAGTAACACTTTTTATTATGATGTCAATATTTTGATTGGAAATTTAGATGGTATATTTTTAGAGTTAATATTTTGGATTTCAAGAAAATTATCAAAACCGCATATATAGCTGMATGTAAATAGGTAGTAGATAACAGTTTTTAACAACATATTAATAATTTTTTGGTCAAACTGAGCTATGTTCCTATTCAAACTTTTGTTTTAAAATGCGAAATTTGTCATGATCAAATTGAAATAAATACCCATTCCATTTGGGTAGAGGTCAATAATGTGTATCATAACCTTTTATTTTCAAAAACTAATTTGAATGTTAAATATACAACAAAAATTATTTTATTAAAAAAATACATAATATAATTTGTATRTAAACATTGTGTACCTTTATGATTGTCTTTTGCGTATTTTGTTTCATAGTCGGGATTATAACATTGAAACTTGCATTCGGGGGTGAATAGTGTTTTATTCGAGCATGCGTTTTCTATTGCAGTTTCCGTATGCTGGCATGGTTCAATTGTGTAAGGTTGACATCCCTGTAAGAAAAGAACATACATACTTGTCATATAACAGTGAAAAAARTATGGTACCTATCTATTATTTATATACCAAAATAATTACTGTTTGATAATGCTATGAGATTGTTAATACTTAAATATGATTTTTAAAAATGAATTAGTTAATATAGTACCTATACCTCGTCTGAACCGTATTCGCCTCCGGAAACCAATCCGTGTCTTCTGTAGAAGTCCCAAGATTCGAAATGTTGGCCACCCGAACAGCCACTTCCACAGAGGTAGCAGCAGGACAATATCTGTTGTGCAGACAGTTTTGGTTTTACCGTTCCATTTGAATGGATGCATATCCGATCACTTATGGCTGACGCTACGGAAATAGCGTAGCTCGACTTGCAGTTACCTTGGTCGTATACCTTTCCAATGGATGGACACATGTACCATTTCGCTCGGGCATCGAAACTTTTTGGCAGGTTCAAAGGATCCCAAAAATCACTGTCCTATAGATAGTATATTATTTCCAAACGTTTATTGGACGTGACAGTTAAAATTGTTTCCCTTTATGTTTAGGCACAATAGTCACAAATCGACTAAGATATATTTTTATCGATATTACATAGGTGCCTATATATATGTCTCGTTATACGTTTAATCTAAAGGGAGGTGAGTATACATATTTAATTTAAATTAGCGAAATAAATTAAAGTAAATAAGTTATTGTAGTAAATTTAAATACATATACCTAATGATATAAAAAAAGCATTTTTGAATGACATAACTTATTAATAAAACACCCGAACCCTCCCTCATTCGTGTGTACGGCACTGATCTCTTAATATGCTTTAAGGGCACTTCAACAAAGTATGGCATTGAGTAAAACAAATAAAATTATTTACTTCGGCTAACACCTGAAATGTCAAATTTATCTGTGACAGCGAAATTTCGAGTTGTTGAGTCATGACAATTTTATATTTTGAGATAAAGAAATTTAGATTATACATCGAGTGTTATGCTAACTTTGAAGCACCACAAGTTTTTTTTTATTTGAGATTTGAGTTGTCGATAGTAAATTTCGAGTTATTAAGATTTGAGTTACCATGACTCTCCGGCGGTATAGTTTAATATTAGTTTTTTTTACATACCTTTATTTTCATGGCACCAGCTGGTGCATTTGGATTTTCTAAGAAATTGTTTTTGTCGTTTAAAGATTCGCACCGTTCACTGAGAACGATTATGCATAGCAAAAATACTAAAACTTTTACAGCAGACATCTTGTTGCGGATGAAATCAAAACGAGAATGTATACAAGTCTTAAGGTTGTGACATTAAAACGTATACTTCATAATATTGTCGATAATATATTATATACGCACTTTTGAAGCACCAACTTATATATTATAACTATTGTGGTACTTGATAAAAAAAATGGTAGAAGTTGTGATAACTTTTTAGATAATTATAACTTAATTATTTATTAAGATATAATTTTTTTGATATTTACATCTGGTACAACAATGACAGTGAAGTTGTTATAGATATTATAGTTGTTCTTCGGCAAATTAATTGTACCATATGATATCGTTTATATTTTCTATATCATTACGTTCATGTATAGTAATTATTTTTCATATTCGATATTAAAGTATGGAATCCATTGTGAACTCGTTTATATCGTCCAAAACATCTAAAGGTACGTTTTTGATAAACCATTTATCGCAGATTTCATAGTTGTCTGATTACATTTGAACATGTAAATTTATCTTATTCAGATTAGTCTAATTATAATGAATATACAAAAAAATCACAGATGTACAGTATTTCTTATCATCTCATAAACAAATCCAAAGTCACTGCTTTAATTATTATTTTTTTTAAATCTATGTAATTTCTTAAAACTAATAATTACAGATGCAGTTAACTGTTTTTTATATAATAGTTATTTTATACACTTGATAAAAAATTGTCTGAAGTAATAATTGTTAAATATAATTGTATTTGGAAATACATTTTAGATTTTGAGCGGAGCAACGAATTTAAAGGTTTTACGATAATGTGTGCGTGTTTTTGTACCAGTCACCAGCGTTTGGAAAAATAATAATATTTAAAACTTTAACTTCAATTTTCGACTTATATTTTATGGTGATAAAGTGGATATAGTTGTTACTTTAGCTTGGAGTTTCAAAAGAATGTAATACCTACTTTTTTTAATAACTGGGAAGAGTAATTAAAAAATAGGGGGAAGCGTGAAGTTTTACGGAAATTCAATTTTGTAATTTTGTTTTTTACAATATATATTTTTTTTTAGAAATACAGTCTTATTAGAAGGCACGCAACCCTTGCGCCCCCTGGAGTCACCTTTGTAAAATTTAACACATTGCCATTACAGTGACCAACTGAATGAATAGGCACATTTGTTACATATGCTATATGTATAGCATAGTGATTTTTCAAGTATTTTTTATTAAAATTGAAAAAAGATAAATTGTAGAGACTTGAATTGTACACACAATATTTATACAATAATTTCTAGCCATGATATAATTTTATAATTATTTTGAATTTTTCACGATATTCATAGATAATTTTAGTATTTAATTGATTAATTAATAATAAAATTTTTGTTTTTAAGTCAAGACTTAAAAGTTGAAACATAAGCACAACATTCCGAAAAACTGTAAGTGTTTTTTACTGTAATCGAGAAAAAAGTTTACGTAATGCCACCTAAATTTTTATGAACGTAGCGTTTGAAGTAAATATTCTGATAATATGGGATATTGCTTCAAATCGTTATATCACTTATATCTTATAAGATTTTTAATAATTTTTCAAAACCGAAACAATCAAAAACTTATTGTGCACTAAAGTCTTGAAAAATTAACATTTTCACATAAATTATTGTATTTATTCTTTTAAAATTTAACAATATTGATTTTGGGATTTCGAACTAGCGACTTTCTGTATTTTATATTTGTCTTAATAATTGAAATATTAATATATATATAAATATAATATTTAATACTCAAATAGTATTTGTTAAATTATCTACTGTATTAACATTTTTTGTCATCTGATCTGTTTAACATTCAGGAAATGTCAGGAAATTACTAAATGACAAAAAAAAACCAGTGAAATATAATATACTCATAAAATATAATTAGTGAACTAAATAATTTCTCATTCATTATATTGTACAATAAAATATTTGTATATGATTCAATGCCTATGTGTAAACGTATATTCTTGGTTTGTTATTAATGTAAGTTATTAAAGATTAATAATTGCATTAGTTTATATTATTATGTAAAGTATAATGAATTAATGATACATGCATTTGTATTTCAAAATATTTTACATAATGTAAAAATCCATTAGGTATTGAATTATTCACTCAAACTCGGACTATTTTATTAAAAAGTGTTTTTGAGGGTATATATAGGTAGGTACATAAAATATTTTTTTATTTTATAACTGTCCTAAACTAATCCTATATARGTTATAATGTATTGGTTACCTGGCCTCACCATTCATTGTATTCGTGTTTACATATTATTCACTTGAGCCTTGAGATACAAGCAGCAGTATACCACTTGAAAGTTATTTGGTTTGACGATGAAATTCCTATTGTTATAAAAAAAAAACTGCACTAAATTCTTTATTATGTGCCTGAATCAAATGTTTTGAACGGTTTCTATCGAGAGAAATACTACTGATATCGTATTTCGTTCACATTATTCTGCGGGAAGTACGTACGAGTAGGTCATACATCATGCAACCGTTACACGGTCGTATGAAACCAATGATGTGTTTCTGCCACCTGTATGGTATGGGATTTTGTTATGATGATTTTCGAATCATTTATTTTATATCTATATTCGTTAATATGTCAGCAAGTATTTACATATACTACAAAGCTTTAATTTTTGTCCAAATGAATATGTCGAACATGTTCGACTTGTCTACATTAACGTCCGTGGTTCGACTGCATATCCGTTTTTTAGCGAATCCATTAATGATTGTATTGTTGTGTGCCAAAATAACGACTATTATGAACTATATAAGCGATTTTGACGATCTGGTCGTCAGAATCAATGATGTTTCACTGAAGCCGTACATGTTACATTTCTTTGGTTGGCTGTCGATTACTCTGGTCACGGAATTTATACAGTTAATGACGTTTCACTATCGCATGGACTTCAGATATTTAAAGATTTCCTCCACTGTCCAGTTCGTCATATCTAACGTGTGGCTAGTCACGCCAGTTTTGATATATATTTTTCTCATCTCCTTGGTGTCTCATGGTATACGAGAAATCAACAACGATATAACCTCGATGAGAGCGTGGAGAACACACAGTCAAAAATGGAAAGAGCTTCAACACGCGGCAATAGTTCTAACTAACTCTGTGTTTGGAAAGATTATTATTATTTTTATAATGTACACCATAATGGAATTAACCTTTTTCTGTTTTGCGTTATATTTAAGTTGGAGAGGTAATTATTTTAGTGAATTAGTTGCATACTTCATAATCCTGTTTGTTCGAGCCGGCTTGATGTTTCAACTTTTCCGAACCAGCCATAGTTGCAAGATGGAAGTAAATAAGTTATTAAAATAAGAATAACGCATGGTGGTAATTTGTAAATAATATGTTTAATGGAGAAATTTAGTTTCAATCATTTTCACTAATTTAATAATTTCAATATTTTTGAAAATTTAAAAGGTTTAAAAGGTCTTTTGAATTTTCCGTATTTTTCTTTTGTCATCTAATTTAACATTGCATAATGACTAACTAAAATTATTTTAGATGGAGTAGATTATAATTTATCTTTAAATTCCGGGCCATAACTAGATTATTAATGAGTAATAACTAATAAGTAACTATAATCACTTCTTAATTCATAAATTATTTGTTTTTATTTGTCTAATTTTTATATTTTTAAGAAACAGATGAAAAGGACACAAATACTTTTGAATGGTACTTGTAAAAATACAATTTCAGATTACAAAGAAGTATGCAAAACCAAATTGAGCAATATTATAGGTACCTAATACTTAATTTAATATACTTAGTTTCAGTTCACATCTATGTACATGCTGCATACTGATTTCGATTTCACGCCATGTAATATTTTTGATATTACGTACAGAAATTTAGTAACTGTAAGTAGTTATTAAGTTGTACCTATAAGAGAAAATAAAAATAAAAATAATTTTTTCTAGATATTCACTATAATTGCTGCCTACGCGATTTTTCAAATTCAAATGAAACTAATTTAAGAATAATGCAACTAAAATATACATTTATTAATATTTGAGTAATTATATAATAACTAATAAGTAATAAAATCTTATTTTTCTTATAATAAACTATACAGTCAAGTATACTTAAATAGCATAATATATTCTAGAATCTAGATTTTGATTGTAGCGATGAAAGTATTGATTTTGACAATGATTAAGTGTTGACAATGATGATTGAAATTTTTTTTTTTAACATCGATTATAAATTTTTCCTTTTACTTATATACTTATTGTGCTTTGATAATTATAAATTGTATATTTATTATAATATATAATATATATATATATAAATAACATTGCTTTTAAAATAAAAATACAAGTTATTTTAATTTAAAACTATACTGAATTGCTGAATTATCATGTTAGCTACTATTTTCCCTTATCTTATACAATTTTGTATTTTTATGATGAAAAAAAAAAATGTTGATAATGTATTTATATATTATAATTATTATCTATTGTAGTACAGGTTATATTATACTTATTATTATTTAAAAAACTAGTTGATTCAAAATTAAAATTTATGAATGAGCAGAATATAATATAGTTAGATCTCATAAATGTTTCTTTCTAATTTGATCCTTGAGATTAAATTGTATACACTCATTGTCGTGTTTAAACTAAAATGTTCTTATAATATTTATTAGACTATATTGTTTTTGACAACTTTGAATAGAAATATTGAATGTATTAAAAACGTTCTTATAGAACAAATATTTGTAGAGAAATTTAAGTTACTTAGGTACCTAATCAATTTATTTACAAGTAACTTAAAAAGGAATATATTTTATAGGAACTGTCAATTTGCTAAAAAAAAATTACGCACATTTAAGCAGTTGTTAATGTAATATATACATCACTTATATAACTAATATTTTAGTTGATACATATTTTTGTATTATGTTTGCATACTATGATAGACATTTAAACGATAAATTGATAGATTTATTATTTATATTAATTAATTCAAAGTAGTTCAAAATGTATATAGTTTGGTTCTTATATACAATATAATTCATAATACATTTTATGAATGTTGGAGAAGGAACGGATTAATGGAAYGAGTTCTTTTTTTAGGTACAAAATTTGTATCTGCTTCGTTTAAAAATAAAGAAACAAAAAAATGAACAAATTTTAGATTCGGAGCGGAGCAATGAATATATTGATTTTATAATGATATGTGTTTATTTTTTTTTTTTTGTGTCTGTGTACGTGATATGTTGTCTAAATAATGATTCTGTAATGATATAAACGTTATGATATGGCTTGGTGGGGCGCGGTCGTACGCTCAATCTACGGGAACGCACTGAGGAGCGTACGTACCGGCCGCAGTTGCTAGCTCCTGGATGGATGACCACCCGCGATTTTTAGCAAAATATCCTTGCCACACATACACAAACACGTGTTACAACCCTACCCACATAAAAATCTACACACAAATATACAAAAATAATCCCTACCGTACCACACCCCACACCCAATGTCCTATGTTGCCGGATAGGTTAGGTTCTCTTTAATAAAAAAAAAAAAGTTATGATATATCATTATTTAGATTTATACGTGGCCTGTATAGTAAATATCTTTACAGCTGTAAATACATAAATTATTTAGTATCTATTACAACAATAATGACACACGAATCAGTAACACCGAAATCTGCAAATTTGATTACAAAGGCAGCATATCAACATCTATAAAAACCTACACGACAATATTAAAACCACGCTCAGATGGCCCAGTCAGCTCAGCCGCTCATAATAAATTAAATTTACTGTAACTATTTCTCCCGATTCAAATACAATATTTTAACATACCTTTTCCTATTCTGGTTATTAAATATCTACTATTTCAAGTCATACATAATACAATTTTCTATAAGCCACAAGTTATTCGAAAGGTAAGTGAAAAATATAAATAGTTAATATTCTCCGTACATTAATTCATTTGGAAGGAAAAGCTATAGTACCCATCCCTCATAATTAACGGGACCATACGTCCCGCTTTGGGCGGGACAGTCCCTCTTTCGAGATAAGTGTCCCACTGTCTCCAAAGCGGTGGAGTACGATTGCGCGCGTTTTACCTTTTTGGGCATACGATTGCGCGCGGTGCCGGAATAGCAAAGAACATGCTTTTGACTATTCAAAAGCGTACGATTGTGCGTGAAATTGGATGCGACGTTGCCAATTTATTATTAAAATTTAAAATAATAATTATTATTAAAAAAATTATAAAAAAATTTGTTATTTGTCGTATATGTTGTTATTGTATTTATTTATAATAACATTATAAACGTGGCATCACGTGTCAATGAATCAGTCAAAAATAGTACAAAAGTTACAAATAGTACAAATAGTTACAAAAAATAACAGATACTTTATATTTACCCTTAGTCTACCTAAAAAGTTCAGATATTTACCATGCACCTATAATATGTATATTTGGCAAATAATTTAGCACGCGCAATCGTACACCTAAAAAGGTACCGTTGATAAGGACCGCGCGCAATCGTATTGCAGACCTCCAAAGAATCTAAAAATGTCCTGCTTTCAGAAAAGTCTTGTGGTTGGTATTTATTGATCACATATTACAATCATACATTTATAATACTGTACCTATAAAGCTTATACCTACATATTTTTTATTTATTTTTTATTTGAATTAGGCCTCTGCAACTATGGCCATTGGCAACAATTTGTTTAACTCTAAATTATTTACAATAAGTTACATAATTATTAAATTCTATTAATAAGGTTAGACTTGGTAATAAAGGTTATTATTTGTCTTATATTGTCTGGGTGGAGGGCTTCTGACAGGATGTTTGAGATACCTGCTTCCCGTCTATCCATTTCGTAAACCTACATATTTTACATATACTGTAAAACACTAAAACCTATAGTCCATAGATTTT